CCCCCCCCCCCCAGCTAATTAACGACATAGTTTTCCTTTCCTTGGCTGATCTACCAGATATATCAATTGAAAAAATTATTTAACTAATAAAAATTTCCCATAAATTCAATTTACTTTATTAACCTTCTGTCCGATTTTTTTCTGGAATACTCGACCATGAAATGCGAGGGCCAAAAAGTGACTTATTCTCCACTGAGGATTCAAAACAACGTTAAGGGCGGAATCTAAAGGCCAAAATGCCCTCACCTTGCGCACTGCGTTTGTAAATGTAAATATGGTCTGAAAATTCAGTCAGCAAGACGGTTTCTGGCGTAATTATGGGAACTTATTTCAGCAGCGAAGGTTTTCGTTGGGAGTTTAATGCATGTCATTATCTAAAACAATTTTTTTTGTCAAAACGTACCTGTAATGCGACCAAGCGACATCTCGGCTTTATTCCACAAATAACTCCCAGCATACCCCGCGGCCTGGGCACCAAGGCTAAATCCCACAATATAGAACTTCTTGGCTAAGTCAGGTGGCGCAGACTCACTAGAAATCAGGAACCTTATCAGCTCTGCTACCTGAGCCCCTACCAGTCGAGTGTTCCCTGCAGCCTGAAGGTAGCCCTTTAAGACATCAACGCTTGGTTGGTTTTTTGCTCCTTCAGACCAGTCTACCAATATCACATTACAGTCTTCTCGTTTTAGGAGGGCACCTTTCAGTTGCTCCGCCCAGGTATTTTTACTTTCTATATAATATATAGAAAGTACAATAAAATGTTATAAAAAGGTTTTTAAAATTTGCGATAACGTTTCGTTATGAATAAATTGACTTAAAAAACAAATGAAATTAAGCGAAACAAGCAGCAAACGAAGCAAAACATCTGAAAGACAAAACCAGAAAGAAACCAAAACAAAAATAAAAAATAGCCATATATCGAATCACATACCTATCTATGGAATCATTCACTTCTTTTCAAAATAATTTGTTTGTGCCTTAACTCTTGGCTTCTATGCATGTATGTCAGAATTTGTTTATTATTTGCAGTAAAAAGTTCGGCCGATAAGTGTGGTTCGACACATTTCCTTTTGCGTACGCGGTTTGGGCACTCATAGATACTCACCACCGAAACCGTGAATTACGAATATCGTGCGTCGCGAGATATGGAAGTCTGAGGCCTTCAGTTTGTTATAATCTTCATCATCAACTGTCCAAGAGCCACCTCTGGTAAACAAGTGAAATGTTGTGCCAACAGTGGATGGAGATTCTGGCAAACTTGGACGGCGGAAGAAGACACCCCATCGAACTTTTGGCTGTTCCTCAAACGGGCCGTATTTTCCATAATTGTCCTCTTTCGGCGTATTGTTCAGTACGAATCCTACAGTGTTTAAATTAAGGTGATTTGATGTTACCTACAAGCCTCACGGTCCATCTGGACGGCGCCTATCTTGGTTTCTGCAGCATTAGTCATAAGTTCGCTGGTAGCCATTAAATCATACTCCTTTGCTTAAGTGTTGATTTTGACGATATACTTTTGGTGCTATTGATTTGAAAATGCTTGTATGAGACGCTAAAGGGGGGTGACAAATCACGTACGCTCCCTAATGACCGCCAGTATGTTTTAGAACTCAGTGCGGGGAGCCTAAAGAATAACTTTTTCGCACAAAGAGCAACCTCGATCTCGTGGGCGTAATTCTAGTGAATATAAAGAAGAAGCTGTTCCGCAATTACTAACAACAAAGCATCCAAAAGCTCGTTGCCAATGCTGACGCGAACTTTAATTATAAACTACGTGGGAGAAGATTTAATTGCTCAAGATATTTTCAAAGTGGACAGGAAATCCATATCGCACGTCTAGAATATTCCGAGGTGTCTTAATTGTCCTGAAATAAATCCCATAACTTGTCTCAATTAAGTGTAGAGTAGGATATTCTAAAAGTGTTTTAAGACGAGACTCGGTTACATATGCAAATTAACTCAACTTCAGATGCAAATCAACTCAAAAGTTTGGAAAAGAAGTTGATGTGTTCATTGCTTAAAGTGAACCTTTCGAATACAGGGTCATGTCGAGCCATTAAGACCTTGTCCTTTGCTCGAAATGAAGGCCAAGGAGAGAAAAACAAGTTGTTTGATAAATTTGCGTGTAACATTCGGTCCATGCTAAGATATCATAGAAACCTACCGACAATCTGTTTGAAGCACACAACACAATAGGGTATATTGTGATGTAAAAGCATAACCCAATATGAGATGAAAATGTGCACAAACACTAAAAGAAATACAGCTGCAATATTGATAATGCCTACTTGCATGCTAATGATCAATGTTGTTTGTATGTGTTTCTGTGATATCGAACCAGCCTCCCCTGATTCCAAAGGGTCTATTTGATTCCATTTCACATTTCATTTCACTTTCTTTTGACCGTGTAACTCGTCTTTTATATAATCTATCAAGAATCTTTGAATTTTAGGCAAATAATTATCCTCTCAGAAAGTGAATGGTGGTCATTTGAGAGAATGCGAACTCTTAATAGCCGCAAAAGTACCACTTACCACGTGTTGCTGCAGTTAGCATTACGAAGAAGACGATGCTGACTTTTTCCGCTGACATTTCACCTTTGTTTCGGGTGACACTCTCGTTTTTCGTGGTGTCCACTTACGTGAAAGTTATTCGCACGGTGCAGTCAAGAGAACGTTAATGAATGTGGGACCAGACAACTGGAACATTTATGAATGTTTTGACGTCTATTGTATCACACCTGGTATGACAAGCCAATGAGAATGAAGAAGAAAATCATCTCGGATCGATTTCGATTACCGATGAAATCCGAGTTTACCCGATGTCGCGTTCGTGATGAAGGCTCTAGAAAGGAACACGTTCGGTTTCGCTCATGAATTTTTACGAGTGTTAAGAAATTTACTGGTTGCTAGCATATATTAGAGATTCCAAAGCCTTGTTTAAAAGTGAACTATTCTGTAAAACCTCTTTCACTCTCGTTCTTAGTGGTGACTACTTATTCGTGTGGTACAATCAGGATATTGTCATTGAAAACAGAATCAGCAGATTCATGGATGTTTTAAAGTCACCCATAATACATGCAGCATAAATGGCGACTATTATGTAAATGTATCTAATTTGGAGCTATCTTTGGTTTAATTGAATACTTGTTGAAAATGTATAATTTAGAAGAATAGCTCAGTCCTTATTGTAACAGTGCTTTGTAAATTCGCCGATTCACTTTCACTAGTTGGTATTTTCAGAATAGTTTTTTCTTTCTTTTGTTTGTATTTGTATGTACACCTTGTTGGTCTAAATAATGTTTGGATAGTGAAGAGCAAGGTGGTAAAATAGAACGTTGTAGTGGTCGAGTACAAACAGAAAGAAAGTTTCTTGCAAGATGCACAACCACTGCTGCAAATCATCAGTAGAGAGAATCCTGCTAAGAACTCCGCACACACAGCCCCATACTGCTGTAAAACAAAGCCGAAGTCTCAGAGGCAATCTATTGTTTATGCCATTGTTTTCTTATCCAAAAACTGTATGCGTAATTTAATAAAAATACGGGGCCTTGCAGAAATCTTAATACTTGATTCACGACAAAAACTTGTTTTTCGAGGAAAGCAGTGTACAAGAAAGAGAAGCCACATGGAAAAGATGTCAATACACAAGCAATAGTGAACTTTTATTTGATCGATTGAGAACTTTAATTGGTGCGAGATGGAAGTTCATGAAAAAGACCACTTTGCTGTAGGCTACGTTGGTTGTTCTGATATGGAAGTGAAGTGTTCCTTGGTAAAAATTATTTTTCCGTGTAAGAATCTTTTTCCCTGCAACGAGTCGGAAAAATTCTCGAATATTTGTATGATCGCAGCAATAAATTAAGCCCTAGCGACTTGCCTGCCCCACTGAAAGTATTGCCTGTCACAGTTGTAAATTGTCCGCACAGTGTTTCCCGACTTCTGTGCTTCAATGTCGTCAAAGTCCCCCTCCCTTCCCTACTTAGCCTCAAACATATCATGCAGAGTTATTTACCCAAATTTTTCAATCAAAACAGGAATGAACCCATAGCGTAATATTTTACTCATTCTAAATGCCTGCCTGTCCGATTGCTCAATAAATTCTACATTGAAAAAAGCAACAAAAACCCATATCGCATCTTATTTCCTTAAATGTGAATGTTACAGTGAGGCAACTAAAAACCTGTTTTACTTAATATCTCTATCTGAAATAAAGCACTTCAGGGTCTGTGCTTCGTAAAAGTCGACCTAAAAAAAACTAAACCACGAAAACAACAGATATATAATTCTCTATGCACCATAGTTGTAGGAACAGAGTTTCTTCAGCAGTGAATGGCACAGTATTTTCATCCTCGGAGATGTTTTAGTTCAACCCTGGGAACCATGAAAGAATGCAAAACAAAAATTTTAGAGTGCGTTGATATGTACGCCATTCAACGTCAGGTTGCTGTTGGAAAGGGCCGTATTTTCCATACTGTTCCCCCGAAAATAACCCAACTGCAAAAATTATTGTCAGGCAGTCATTTTGCGGCACATATCCCATTATGTTTCATTCTGTGACCAATCATAGGCTTCATCTTAGACCCTTTCGGTCAAATGTAATTTTTGCGATCCCAATTGAGCCGATCAAGTTGTTAAAAATCTAAACATCAGTATGGAATACGGTATAACTTTTTTAACCAGGAATCTTCCCATTTTTAAATCCCAACTTACAAAGAATTTCTTAACCCCAAAATCCTGAAAGTGTGTAACTTCATTCTAGATATATTCTGTGAGGGGACGTAATTCATTTTTTTTTAATATTCATGAAGAAATTTAGCAAAGAAGCTGAACAGAGAAACAGTGTGGTCCCGTTTATGCAAAGGAATAAATTTATTCAAAGGGAGGGACCCCCTTGTTGTTTCCCCCCACGTGTTGCAACGAGGTTTTAGTCCTTCCTTCATCTCGATCGGATACTCTCAAAATTGAAATTTTAATTTGGCCAAAATAAAAGTTAAGAAGCTGTTTCGCAGTTTTAAAACAATATAACCTATGAGGTCATTGCTTATTAGATTGCTGATGTTAGCTTCAATTTCAATTTAGTTTTCTATGAAAAACATTAATGCTTAATCTAAACTCTTTTCAACCAAATAATTATTTGGGTTTATCTTAATAAAAAAAAAGTGCGAAAACACAAGAGAGACTTAAATCAAAGGGGAATGGGGGAGGGAATTCTATGCGGACGTAACTATGGTTTACTCACAAAGAGCGACCTAGGAGATATTGCTAGAGAAATGTTAATGGTAAAACTCTTTCTTTTAGCTCTGATTCTTAAGTAATTGAAAAATAATCTATATGAAGGGGCATTTGAATATGAAAGAGTCTGATCTCTAATTACAGTACAAGAGAAAAAAAAGGGGCTTTAGTTGGTTGCCACTTAAAATGCGGATGATAGCTTCCATCAGAAAATAAGAGACGATGCCACTGTTCAAGTTCTCTCTAACCAGAACAGGGAACAGAACATAAGTCATATGCATGGGCATCAAACACAAAGCCTCTGCTTTACGTTAAAATTTATAACTTGTCTCCATGCATTCTCTGTACGCAAAATACTGATTGCCGTGAGATTTGCTGAATATACTTTAAAAAGAAACTAGAAATCATATCCTCGATTATCAAAGCGAATTAACTTTAAAATCGGCTAAGAAGTGATACTTTTACTGCATTAAGTGAATACTTCGAATTTTTGGAATCTTCAACCAGTGGCTCGTTTGTAATAAGGAAAGAAAATTTTTATTTGAAACTCCGCGTAACATTTTTTCTACCCTAAGGCTTTAAAAGAAAATTATCAGAAAATATATACAACGCTCGTAAATTAGGAGAACTTTCCGGGTAGGTAATGTGAAAGATTTACCCACTTGATTGGGAAGCGCTCGGAAACGCCAAAATGAACTCAGATTCAAAATCAATCTTGTATATTTGCGATAACTGAAATTAAATGTTTATACTTTTACGATATTGTCACTAATAACGAACCTGATCCCAAAGCATGCCTTTCTAGGCAGATAAAATATTCACACCTTCATTCAACCATGTAAATTGACTTTTGGGAAATGAGCCTCCTCTCATAATACAAATGATGATCGCCCATGCGAGAGATCAGTAAAGAAAAAGCCATCAGGCAATAAATTGCATTGATTTCTTTTTGCCCTGTATTGATGCGGCTAATGTCACGAACACGAAGATATCTTTCATTGCCAACATTTCACGTTTGTTCCGTGATTTCCACTGACGTGAAAGTGATTCGTGTGGTTGGATCAGGGTTAAGTCACTGAATGAGGGAAAGGTAGTTTCGTGTCGTTTAAGATAGCTGGAAAATTTAATGGATGTTTTGACGTCAATAATGCCAGTTTTCAATTAAACAACACAGATAATATTTTTTTTTGGTTTTTTTTTTACAGTGCAACTGTCACTCCTCCGAAGAGGAGAATAATGTTTTTAATTAACAACGTGGGCAGATAAGACGGGGAAGGAAAACCCATGAAACATGCAATTCATTTATTTATCCAGGCGATAATAACCAATATTTCAATCTCCGAAACCACCATGAATCTATAACTAAGTAAACATGAAAACTGATGATTTGAGTTTAAAAATTTTAAAGTTCTACTTTGAGCTACGCAAAATAAACCGTGGTTTGTTATTTGGAAATTCTCCTAAGAGGGCAGGGAGAACTATTTTAAGTAAAGTGGTTATCTATTAACCGTAAAAGCTTGCGCTTACAAATAATTGCCCATACTTTGCCGACAATTTGAGAACGTGGGTAATTTTGTATTATCAACTGAGTTCATAACGTGTATTGGCCACCGTAAAGAGTTTAAAATCTGACGTTTCGAGCATTAGCCCTTCGTCAGAGCCCTTCATATTGCTCTTTTTGCCACGAAAAGCAATAAAGTTTCTAATTTCAATCATTTTTGTTTACTTAATAGTTTCAAGACTGACCCAAGATTTAAGGACTTTTTCCGTCAATTATCATTACCTTGAAAGTAGTTTTGAAACTGGATCAATACAGCTGCTCTTTTTATTTTTTGTCTTCGTTTCACCCCAGCAACCATTGTCACAGGTGCACACAGATCGAAGGTGCTAACGATATTTGCATCGCGTCCATTAAGATATGAAAAAAGAAAAATGTAGAGATGTAGTCTCTGTTATCCGTCTGGCTTAACTGTAAAAGCCATGGGTAACACAATTTTATAATAAACCCACCTTCGGCCCTGCTTTGCTAGTCTCGCTCCGCTGGTCATTATCATGCGCCAAATATTTTCCCATGTCAGGCCTTCAGCTTAGCCAATGAGTACATATTGTTTTACTTGCTTTTCACTATTTCCCAGCTTTATTGTTCTCGTAAGTCATACCACGTTTCTTGAAGCCCGTATGTTTTGTGTGTCCAAGTTCTGTTCGTCTCGTCTCTAATTGCAACATGTACTTACACTAAATTTATCCCTCTTACTAGTTTCCTATTATAAAAATATATATTTATATCATTTAATTTCTCAGTGGCACCTAAATAGAGAGTTTCTGAATATATCTTGAGTTGAGAAGTATTACCGACACTCCTAAGCACTTAAAAAGTTACTCTAAAATCTTGTGTAAGATTTATATGCATACTTCTAATCTTTGCTAAGGGCTCCGAAGATCCATGAGAGACCAATTTTGAACTTTTAGTCGCTCAAAATAGTGAACTCATTTGAATTAAAGCTGCTTGGTGCACAATTTGCTACCTTTGATGGCAGTGGTTTCAACCGTTTCACGTACATACCCCGGGTAAATTCAGTCAGTGTCACAAAAAACGAAGATATTTTTACTTGCAAGAATCTCCCACTTTATTAGACAATGCTGTGTTGTTCGTGATACCTAAAAGATGAGTGCTATGAAAAATATCCTACTTTTTTATCAGGTGGGATCATTGGCTATCATTATGGTTAGGTATTGACAGTTAACACTGCGTATGAATCGCGAAGTGAGGCAGAATGAGATTGAGAATTTAGTTCCTTAACCAATATCATCTTTGTCTCCCCTTCCCTAACAAAATCATAGCTTACATTCTGAAAAGAGCCTGGAGAAGAAAACGAGATGCTTGATCTATCATCGCTTCAATGGGAATATTTTTCGAAACGCAGTCAGCAAAGCGGAACATATTTGCCGAGATGATGAAATTTAAAGCTATGATATAAAATCATTCAATGGAAAATGGTATTTGGTGCACATAATGAATTTCTAGTTCATTGTAAACAAGTTCGAGTTTTTTTTTTCTTCTTAGTTTACCAGTCACTTGGATAACAATTTATAAAGATTTTAAACAGAAGGTGTAGTTATCGCTTTTTTTTTTTCGGTTGGGCACACCGTAAATAAGACATGCTAAGAGACACGTATGATTGGGAACCAGTCTCCTGACACTTTGAATTCACAGGACGCGATCTTAAGAGAGTTTTCCATACGGAGTTTTAGCCTCAATCATCACATGCGATCCCTCGAGGCTATTATGTACTTTCCATAAAAATAAGGTCAGATGGTATTATCAAACAGAAAAGCAGAAACAATCGTATCATTCCTAAGTTTTATCAGTCACACTGAAGCAACTCTTCGATTTTCACATAACTACTGTAACCACCGGCATCTAACCCTAGAGCAATGCAAGTTGCAAAAAAAAAAAAAAATTTGAAAAGAAATCGAAAGAAATCACAAGTGGAGTCTCGACTCAAATACATGCTCTTGCAAAAACTAGAAATCGTTGCTTTCATCAGTATATCTTATATCATCAACATAGTTACACGGATTCGGCGCTTTTGCAAAGGAGGAGCGCCTCGTTTGAAAACAGTTGTGCGCTAGAAACAAGGTCTTTAATCGCCTCGAGGCTCTCACAGAAAATAATCACTTTCGATTGCATTTAACACCAGTAGTAAGACCAAAAAATATATTTGTGCGTTGATTTTTTACCAGGCGACTTAACTTACATATGGAGAGAGGTGGTTTAAATGAGTCACTGCAATACGGATAGCTTTAATTATTTTTTAATTCGCGAACCTTTGGCTCTACACCGATGGAGATTGATTTTACATATTTACACTACCCACTCCTCCAGTGCAGCAAAATTGTCACTCCCATAATTTTCTCGATCAGTTACGAGCTTTCCCAACTCCCTTCGGCCAAAGTCCCTGAGAACTACCAATTACTCAGGACTTTTGTTTGATGCTTAATGGAAAAGTTCACCCTGAACAATGGACCATTTCTTGATATGACAGTTTGAGAGCAATTTTTGGTTGCTTCATCTAACGTACACCCGCGTAAATTCACCTTCACTGAAAACGGAGAATACTCTGAATCCTTAAATATAATTTTAGCTGCAATAGTATGGATATCAACTGACTAGGACTTATGTTTGATCTAACTCTGGCATTGTTCAATAACTAACTCAGAACTACCGATGCACAACCGAACCACTAACACAAAAACGACAGACTAAAATCTACGTCAGTTGAAAATTGTAAGCTATCAGTTGTATTCATCAGAAATCCATACAGTAATTTGCGCTGCAATGGAAAAATCTGGTTTTTTAATAGACAACGCAACATCAAAATTCGCTTAAGTGAGCAGGAGATAACGCACGTTGACATTGTCGGTAATGACCGCGTGCTTGACTGAAAACCGAAACGTACCTCGGCAATTATATTAACCTGTTGACACCCATAAAGATTCAGAATGCAAAATCCTCCTATAAACTCAATACTTTGTCAATGAAAAGGAGTTGGGAATATAGAGATAGATCAACAAGGTCGATCCGTTTAGAAATCAAGGTCAACACGGAGAATTTGCTATTGGATCTTGAGAGCAAGCGAGTTAAAAACCTTCCGGCAGTTTCGATGTGTTTCAGTTTAGTGTGAAGAATCGAAGAAGAGATATTTCCACTTATCCACAATGGCAGTTTTAGTGAAAATATGTTGCTGCGGATGCAGTCTACGAGACGGTGCGTTGCTTATTGGAATCTTCGGCCTGGTGAGTTAAAATAATTATCTATAAATTACCACACTTTAATTTGTCAAATTATATTACAAACAGCCCAGTTTTAATACTTTTTAAAAAGTATATCGAGCGGTCATGGATATTTCTTAATATCGCTACACTGTTGGTGAAGATTGAATTCAGTTCTGTTTTTGGGTCATAATACAACTCAGAGTTAATAAGGAGTTGTAGAGCAGTGTTTATCGATTTAGGCGACAAATTTCAAGACAAACGAAAATCGTGAAACTTCATAGATAGAAAAATAAGGGAAAATAGAAATAAAAAATTCTGGTCCGGGCCATCTGTAGATTCTGACTTAAAAAAATAGAATAAAATGAAAACTAAAACTAGCGAAAAGTGAAAAACCGAAAGTCACATCGCGAACGAAAAATGCTACAGAGATCTTTGAATAACTTGAACACGCACTTTCCACTTCTACTCATTTTGATAAAATTATACGCTTTCGTCTGCAAGTTATAGAAAAGGAGTGATGAAGATAACCTTAGACAGGGAAATAGCGCCAAAATTCGCGTGGTCTTTTAGCATAAAGAATATTCTATAAAGACTATGGAATAAACTTCCTGCGGAAATTTGGAGTCGAGCTCCTTGGCTGCTTTTTATTCTAAGCTACTCCATTGTTTAGTTAACAATCACCAAGCACTTTTATTTATACTCTTATATTTTATATGATACAGTTATAAAAGTACTATCCGAATTTTTTATTAATTTTATCCCAGTACTGTATAAATTTTATATCTTTGTATCATAATAGTTAGTGTGATGTATATCACAATTATTCGTTTCGCACCATTAAAATATCTAGTTAGAAAGCAGACTGCCAACGTCACGCATCAATAAATAATTCCCTCTCCAGCACGAGTGCCCTACAAGCCGAACTTATCCATTGAAGCACGTGCGCTAAATTAATTTACCCACGTCGCTTGTGATAACCCAAGTGACCCCAAGTTGCTAGCAATATGGACTTTAAAAAAATAATTTTGACAGTTTCGTTCGCTACATCACGTTGCGTTGCTAGTGTACGCCCAATGTTATTCGAGATGTTCCCTCTAAGTAGTGTTAGTGTGCCAAGCGTATAGGTTTTATTTAGTCTAGTATATAAGGTTGAAACATACCTATTGTTTACAAGAGTATGTACATGCCAATAGACAATGTAGCAGAATATTTAGTCTGTATTGACTAAGACCGAGCTGTGCTACTTTTCATGTCCAGCGGAAATTCAAAATAAACGCGATGAATTTCGTCTTTTTTTAACCAAACAATATTTGCGCTAGAAATTAAGAGTCAAATCCAAAATTTTCTGAATAGCCAAAATTAACAGTTGCCACACTGCAAGCCAAGCATGATATAGTTCTTATTGAGTGGCAAGATCCGAACAAACGAGTCAAACGAGAGAACACCTTTAAAACATTTTAAATTTATGTCTGTGTTTATATCCATTTCAGATCTTCCAAGCAATCATGCTTTATAACCAAAGTAAAGCTGTCATAAAGTACACCCAGGCTATCATAGACTGGGACAGCTACGAAGGATATCTCCCTGTAGCCAAGAAGCACATTGGAGGTATTTCTACTTCTCCTTCCTTATCTTAAAAATATCATTAAATTATGGAATAAAATCATGATACACTTTAACGTTCCAAGACAATATTTTCATTCCATAATGAAAATAAGCTGGTCGCCAAACACGTTTTTGAGCCATCAGTAAGCAATTAAATTCATATTTTAAGGATGGTTTTGACTGGATTCAACGTTTCCACGTCAAGTCTCAAATGAAGAAGTCGTTTAAACCATGGCGTGTTTTCCAGCAGTGTATTTTGAAGGGATATTGAGGATTTGTTATTCAAATCAACCTGCTTTGAATTGTTGTGAGTGAGCTTTATGAATTATTTTCTGAACTTTGTTTTGATTAAAGTTGTCTGTTTTTTTTCTCTCTGTTTTATCTCAAAGCCATCATCGCATTGGCTTATGTAACCCTCGCCCTCAAAGTGATTTCAGTCCTATGCAATGTGTCATTGCTAATATCCGTTGGCACGGTAAGTAAAGAAAAATCGAGATGGCATTAGGTTTTGTACTATAAAGTGCATTTTAGTTACGCATTCTGGCATAATCTTCGCCTATGGTCTGCAAACTTTATTAGACACGGCTGACTTCATCCGCGAATGTGTTATGGGTGCACAGTTTTAAACACATTTGCAAGGTTTTTGATTGAGGATTGATCCCAGAGGCTCGATAAATGTGAAGCATAAGCTGAAATATCCACCACTATCAGTTGTAATTATGTACTCAATCTAGGGCTATCCTTGAGATTTTCACTGTCATTTGGTGCATCCCCCCCCCCAAGGAAATTTTCACCCGGCACTCTGTCAAATGTCTCTGATGAATTTTGATTTTAAGCCTAAATTTTTGCACACACAACTTGCATATTTACCATATCGATGTTATTTGTGCGGCAAGATCCCGATATCTCTTTATTGTTGTTGTTGTTTGTTTCGGTTGTTTATGTTTTAGTATAACAACAAAATTTATCTCCCTCGTTGCAGAAAAACATTAATTTGGCTGTGGTCTGGCTGGTGTGGAACGTTTTTGATTTTGCATACTCTGTTTTAGTGACAAGTTTCCTGTTGTCCGTCTTCGATGTGGTGAGTGCAAATGGCAAAAAGAAAAAATTCATTATCTCCGCATCAAATGCTTGAAGTGTCTAGCGCGGGGTTCAATGACATTATCACACGACTCAGAGTACAATTTTTGACAATAATGACACAGTAACTGTACCAGTAAAAATTCAGAATTATACAAAAAAGACAAACAACTTTGAAAGCTAAGATTGGCAAAAAACTGTACATAAAAAGCCCGGCATCTTGTATGTTTAGCATTAACGCATTAGATTCCTCTTCCTAATTTTCAAAATCACTCTCACTTTTCCAAGTAAAGTAGATTTCATGGAACTCAAGAACAGATAGCACCTTTTTTTAGATTATTTAAAAAATTTTCAGGCATCGAACTGTTATCTCTCTCTTAAGTTCAGCTGTTGATAGTCTGTCGGTAGCAAATTCAGTTATAATGTCTTGAACCAAGAGATTATATCTCGTACTGCTCAAATTTCCCTCATAAATTTGAAATGTACTTTTTTGCGGCCTGTTTCAATCACACATGTGAAACTATTCTACACTTAACTGTCCGTCAATTCATATTATAACAAAGTAAACTTACAATATTTCTTTGTTTATCGCATCACAGTTTATATATGCAGATATTGTGATAATCCTGTGGTGGTTGCTTACGGTAAGTTAATTTTTTTTTATTTTGCGTTTTTTTCTTTTTTTTTATTGTATTTATGATGGGCCTATGCAGATATTGCAATAACTGTTACTTTTTTTAATTCCTATTTTGCTTGGAAAATTATTTGAATAAATCCCTCTTCCTATGCTAAGGACATGTCTTTTTTTCTGAGTGTTTAATTTTAAACCTTGTATTCAAGACCTGTCAAAACTCTTCCACTGCTAGTTTCAATTATGGTACTGAACAGCAGAAACTTTCCTACAATAAACGTCGTGATCGACATATAAAACGAACAAAATCACATTAATCCTCCAAATAAAAAAAATATTTTATCAAATAACTATAATACATTAGCTGTAACGGGTAAACATAGACTATTGTTATATACCTAGACATTCACTCAACAAAACGAGCACTGTGATTGGTTGATTCTTGGTCACGTGCCCCTAATCAGATTGAAATATATCCCGACCGGGATACAATTGCGCAGTCGTTACCCACGCGCTGAATACAACAGCATGTTTGTTTGTTTTTGCCATATGATTGTTTAGGGGAAAGTCCAAATATATCACAAAGCACTTAATGAATGGTCCCTTGGAAAACTAGTTAGTTTTGGTTTCCCGAGACGAAGTCGAGGGAAACATCTGGACTAACTGTTTCCCTCGGGACCATACCTTGAGTGTAGAATGATCATAAACGGTTCAACTTTCGTCAATTATTTTCATTTTCTATGTCATTCATTTATTTCATCTCGTATTTCAGATCTATTTCGTGATTGTGGTTCATTCGTACATACAGGCCCTCCGTGAAGATCCATTAGGGGCAAGCGCCGGTTTTCCTAGAGCACACCTTTACCAGACTCAAACGGTAACCAGATTTACGTCAAGATCTTACTGAATACAGTTTTCCGGTTATGACAATATGGAGTTCAAAGCTTGTCAATCAAAATTATTTTTTCGTATCTGTATTAATATTATAATATAATACAAACATTTTGCCTCGATCCACAGGCTGGTTTACGATATGCTAGCCTATGCGCACCACCACCCACGACTGCTGTGCCTTCACACATTGGTGTAGGATATCCTCCCGCATGCGCAGTATCGGACGAGAATACCATGACGTCACAGGCTGGTTATGTTTATCATCCTCCATATCCAGCTGTGACGTCATATACTGATGTAAGATACCCTCCTCATCATCCAATGGCTGGTAAGATTACTCTGTCGTCATACTATGACGCTGGCAATCTTCCTTCACACGTAGCACATGGCAGAACTACCATGACATCACAAGATAGCCCAGAGCATCCTCCTGCTTACACAGATCCAGACACGACCGCTGTGATGTCACAGTTCGGGAATTCTTCTCAACACACAGTGCCCGCCGAGGCTATTGTGACATACCTAGGCTCTGAGTGACGTCATGATGAACTGTTAATGACACAAGAGCTCACCGGTCACTGAGATGCCTGAGAAAAGACTGGGCATTATAAACATTCTATACCAGTTAATCTAATTAAAAGTAAAAGTGGCCCCAGAATAATTCTAAGTCATTTCTTAAGATTGCATTTTATTTTTTTCACGTTATCATTCCCATATTTCAAATCTTGAAATATGGTTATAAACCATGTTTCAAGATTTTTGCATGCAACACACTATAAGATATTATTAACCTTTGCGCCAATTGGCCAGCTCATGGGTAGTTAGTGAGTAATATTCAACAACAAGCAAAACTAAGTGGCTTCGGTATACAAGTTTGGCTAAAAAAGCGATTTTTTCCGAAATAAAGCCTTTTAGCATCCTTAAGTTAATAGAAGGTATTTTGGGACACTTTCAACGTTGATTTAACGTAATAGGCCTACAATGCCAGTTGACCAAAAAGGCATAAATCTAAGTAAATATGCTATTTATATACCATGGTTCTCCTTCATCTTTTCATTGGAATCTCTTGTTCCCTTCTGGTCGCTTGGAACCCTATTAAACCCATGAACTCAAGTCTCCTTGAACGTTGGCAGCTAGTGCCATGCCCCTGGCCATTAGTTCGGACAGTTGCCAATTCGTTGTGATGGGTACTTAATGGCATAAGTGGGTACGCATACCTTGACAGCCTGCGAATAACACTCGGCTGAGCCATTTAAATTGTTCTGCACCTCTTAATTTAATTAAATGATATTTAAACCGGAAGCTCTCTCACCCGTAGATGATCTACAGAGAGGTCCTAATCTAAAATAACATTTAATTGTTAAAAGTAAATAAAAATTGCAGATATTAAAAAAAGGACAAAAGTAAGCTATAGATTAAAAGATTTAAAAAAAATTATTCCTAAACTGACTTATAGTGCCAGAGTTCTTCAAGTCACTGTCCAAGGCATTCCAGTCTTTAAAGGCATGATAACAGGTTCTTTGTTTACCCCAGTTCCGTTACACTGATGGAAGTCTAAGATGATCTTTGCATCATTCAGAAGAGCATCTTTCATTGTTATTGCCCAGGTATCTTTACTCTCTAGATTTCGAAAAAAAACGATATAAACGTTGAGCAAAATTAGCCTGAGACTGCCAGTGAGGGGCAATTATTAGAATTCTATGGAGCCTTAGACGGGTGGGGGGGGGGGGGGGGGGGGGGGGGTCAGGTATATTTGATTGTGACTAAATCAAAATCCTTCATTCTTCCAACCCTTCCCCACCAGACGATTAACTTGGACCGGCGCCTTAAAACTAAAATTTAAAAATTTTGGTCAAAATTAGGAAAATTAGATTCTCAAGAAATATGTGAGGAGAGTGACATTTCTGAGGGGGAATCTATTTGGGTCCAGTTCCGACTTAGCTTCGTTATCCATGATCTTCTGCTCAAACAAAGCAGATGTTCAAATATAATCAGCGCATTTCTCATGCCGCGGTGTTTTTTCGAGTCTACGATGGAATTCATTGATCATTCATTTTTTTTTTAATATTCATGAAGAAATTCAGCAAAGAGGCTGAACAATGAAACAAAAGATAGTGTGGTCCTGTTTATGCAAAGGAACAAATTTATTCATAGGGAGGGACCCCCTTGCTGTTTCCCCCCACGTGTTGCAACGAGGTTATAGTCCTTCCTTCATCTCGGATACTCTCAAAATTGTAATTTTAATTTGGCCAAATAAAAGTTAAGTAGCTGTTTCGCAGTTTTAAAACAACATAACCTATGAGGTCATTGCTTATAACATTGCTGATGTTGGCTTCAATTTCAATTTAGTTTTCTATGAAAAATATTAATGCTTGATCTAAACTCTTTTCACACAAATAATTATTTGGGCTTATCTTAGTAAAAAAAAATGCGAAAACACAAGAGACTTAAATCAAAGGGAAACGGGGGAGGGAATTCTATGCGGACGTAACTATGGTTTGCTCACAAAGAGCGACCCAGGAGTGGTTGCTGGAGAAATGTTAATGGTAAATCTTTTTCTTTTAGCTCTGATTCTTAAGTAATTGAAAAATAATCTGTATAAAAAGGGCATTTGAATATGAAAGAGTCTGATCTCTAATTACAGTACAACAAAAAATACGGGCTGTATTTGATTGCCACTTAAAATGCGGATGATAGCTTCCATTTGAAAATAAGAGACGATGCCACTGCTCAAGTTATCTCTAACCAGAACAGGGAACAGAATATAAGTCATATGCATGAATATCAAACACAAAGTCTTTGCTTTACGTTAAAATTTATAACTTGTCTCCATGCTTTCTCGGTACGCAAAATCATGATTGCCGTGAGATTTGCGGAATAGGAAACTAGAAATCATATCCTCGATGTTCAAAGTGAATTAACTTTGAAATTGGCTAAGAAGTGATACTTTTACAGCGTTAAGTGAATACTTCGAATTTTTAGAATCTCCAATCAGTGGCTCGTTAGTAATAGGGAAAGAAAATTTTGATTTGAAACTGCGCGTAACATTTTATCCACCCTGAGGCTTTTAGAAAAAAAATTCTCAGAAAAATGTTAGAAGCATACAGCGCGCGTAAATTAGGAGAACTCCTGAGTAGGTAATGTGAAAGATTTACCTAACTTGATTGGGAAGCGTTCGGAAACGCCAAAATGAACTCAGATTCCAAATCAATCTTGTATATTTGCGATAACTGAAATTAAATGTTTATACTTTTACGATAATGTTACTAATAGTCGAACCTGATCCCAAAGCGTGCCTTTTTAGGCAGATAAAAGATTCACACCTTCATTCAACCGTGTAAATTGACTTTTGGCATTATTTTTTATTTTGACATTATTCTCCTCCGAAGAGGAGAATAATGTTTTTAATTAACAACATGGGCAGATAAGATGGGGAAGGGAAACCCATGAAACATGCATTTCATTTATTTATCCAGGTGATAATGACCAATATTTCAATCTCCGAAACCACCATGAAACTATTATCAAGTAAACATGAAAACTGATGATTTGAAGTCAAGTTCTACTTTGAGCCAAGCTAAATAAGCCGTGGTTTGTTATTTGGAAATTCTCCCATGAGGGAGGGAGAACTATTTTAAGTAAAGTGATTATCTAATAAACAGTAAGTGCTTACGCTTACAAATAATTGCCCATACTTTCCTGACAATTTGAAAAAGAGGGTAATTTAGTATTATCAACTGAGTTCATAACGTACATTGGCCACCGTAAAGAGTTTAAAATCTGACGTTTCGAGCGTTAGCCCTTCGTCAGAGCCCTTCATATCGCCCTTATTACGAAAAGTAGTAAAGTTTCTACTTAATAGTTTCAAGACTGACACAAGATTTAAGGACTTTCTCCGTCAATTATCATTACCTTAAAAGTAATTTTGAAACTGGATCAATACAGCTGCTCTTGTTATTTTTTGTCTTCGTTTCAACCCAGCAACCGTTGTCACAGGTGCACACGGACCGAAGGTGCTAACGATATTTGCATCGCGTCCATTTAGATATGAAAAACGAAAAAAATTACTTTAAAAATATAGAGATGTAGTCTCTGTTATCCGTCTGGCTTAACTGTAAAAGCCATGGGTAACACAATTTTATAATAAACCCTCCTTCGGCCCTGCTTTGCTAGTCTCGCTCCGCTGGTCATTATCATGCGCCAAATATTTTCCCGTGTCAGGTCTTCAGCTTAGCCAATGAGTACATATTGTTTTATTTGCTTTTCACTATTTCCCCAGCTTTATTGTTCTCGTAAGTCATACCACATTTCTTGAAGCCCGTATATTTGGTCCGTCCAAGTTCTGTTCGTCTCATCTCTAATTGCAACATATACTTACACTAAATTTAGCCCTCTTACTAGTTTCCTATTAAAAAAATATATATATATATCATTTTAATTTCTCAGTGGCACCTAAATAGAGAGTTTCTGAAACATATGATATTCTGAATATATCTTGAGTTGAGAAGTATTACCGACACTCCGAAGCACTTTTAAAAAGTTACTCTAAAATCTTGTGTAAGATTTATATGTATACTTCTAATCTTTGTAAAGGGCTCCGAGGATCCATGAGAGACCAATTTTGAACTTTTAGTCGCTCAAAATAGTGAACTCGTTTGAATTAAGGGCAATGATTTCAACCGTTTTATGTACATACTCAGGGTAAATTCAGTCAATGTCACAAAAAAACGAAGATATTTTTACTTGCAAGAATCTCCTACTTTATGAGACAATGCTGTGTTATTCGTGATACCTAAAAGATGAGTTTTATCAAAAATATCCTCCTTTTTTATCAGGTGGGATCATTGGCTATCATTGTGGCTGTGTATCTGAGTTTGACAGTTAACACTGCGAATGATTCGCGAAGTGGGGCAGAATTAGATTAAGAATTTAATTTATTACCCAATATTATTCCTCATCTCCCCTTCCCTAACAAAATCAATGCCTATATTCTGACAAGTGTCTGGAGAGGAGAACGAGATGCTTGATCTATGTTTCAAATCTATGTTTGCTTGATCTGCGTTTCGAAACGCAGTCAGCAAAGCGGAACATATTTGCCGAGATGATGGAATCTAAAGCTATGATAAAATCATTCAATGGAAAATGGTATTTGGTGCACGTAATGAATTCTTAGTTCATTGTAGACAAGTTTGAGCGTTTTTGTTTTCTTTTTCTTACTTTGCCAGTCACTTGGATAACAATTTATAAAGATTTTAAACAGAAGGTGTAGTTATAGCTTTTTTTTTTTCGGTTAGGATCCACCTCAGCGGCGTTCAATTTCCCGTATGACGCACGGCTCATATGAAGAGGCACACTGTAAATAAGACATGCAAAAAGACACATATGCTTGGGAACCAGTCTCCTGAGACATTCAATTCACAGGACGCAATCTTAGAGGAGTTTTCCACGCGGAGTTTCAGCCTCAATCATCAAATGTGATCCCTGGGTGCTATTATATACTTTCCTTAACGTGATTTTACGACTAAAAGTAAAAATAGGGTCAATATTAGGTGATATTGTCAAACAGAGGAGCAGAAACAATCGTATCATGCTCAAGTTTTATCGGTCACAAACACCACTCCGAATTTTATATAGCTACTGTAACCACCGGCATATAACTCAATTTTCGAAAAAAAAAATTGAAAAGAAATCACATGTGGAGTCTTGAGAACAGTTTGAGAACAGTTTTTGGTTGCTTCATCCAACGCACACCCACGTAAATTCACTTACACTGAAAACGGAGAATACTCTGAATCCTTAAAAATAGTTTAGCTGTAATAGTATGGATGTCATACCTACTGACTCAGACTTCTGTTTGATCGGCTTACTTTGGCATTGCTCAGCTACTAGGCTGGAAGAAGAAAAATTCCAGTCTGATTGGAAAACGGTAAAAGAACAACTAATCCCTGATTAAGATAACTACTAATGAACAACCGAACCACTAACACAAAAACGAACTTTCAAATTCACACTGAAATTTATATCGGTTGAAAATTACAAGCGATCGGTTGTATTCATCAAAAATCCGTACAATAAATTGCGCGAGGATGGGAAAATCCGGTTTTTAACAGACAACGCAACGTCGTGTAAGTGAGCATGAGATAACGCACGTTGACATTGTCAGTAATGGCCGCGTCACGTATCACGCGCACGTATTATTTCTTCATACGTGCCTGACTGAAAACCGAAACGTATTGACCTGTTGACACCCATAAAGATTCAGAATGCAAATTCCTCCTATAAACTCTATACAAGGTCAATAAAAAGGAGTTGGGAATATAGAGATAGATCAACAAGGTCGATCCGTCTAGAAATCAAGGTCAATATGGAGGACTTGCGATCGGATCTTAAGAGCGAGCGAGTTAAAAACTCCCTGCATTTTCAGTGTGTTTCATTTGAGTTTGAAGAATCGAAGAAGAGATATTGCCACTTATCCGCAATGGCAGTTTTAGTGAAAATATGTTGCTGCGGATGCAGTCTACGAATCGGTGGTTTACTTATTGGAATCTTCGGCTTGGTGAGTTAAGATAATTAGCCATAAATTACCAAACACTATTTTGCCATAATATTACAGACAGCCCAGTCATAATACTCTTTAAAAGTGAATCGAGCGGTCATTTCCTAATATAGCTACACCGCTGGTGAAGATTGAATTATTTCTGTTTTTGGGTCATAACACAACTCAGAGTTAATAAGGAGTTGCAGAGCAGTGTTTATCGATTAAGTAACAAATTTCAAGACAAACGAAAATCGTCAAACTTCATAGGTAAAAAAATAAGGGAAAATAGGAATAAAAAATTCTGGTCTGAGCCACCAGCAGATTCTGACTTTAAAAAATAGAATTAAAAATGAAAACTAAAACTGACGAAAATCAAAAAACCGAAAGCCACAATGCTGACGCCACTTAAATAAAAGTAAATGGATAAAAAAAATGCCACAGGGATCTTTGAATAACTTGAACACGCACTTTCCACTTCTACTCATTTTGATAAAAT